AAAATGCCATTAATTGTTATTGTTTTTACGAGATTTATGCGACATTTGTGCGGGCATTTTTTAAGCGAATAATAAAATCATATGTATATAATTGTTAAATTGCTTTAAACCCATAATTATCATATTATACAATGATAGATTAAAATTATAACAATACGAAATATGTATATGGTTCCTCGTATAAATATCGCACAATTTGAAATTATCACCTCGCATGAAAATGCTTTTCAAATCGCATAAACTGGGGTCTCTAGATTTTATTGGTTAATTGTGCTTATGATTATGCAGATCACAATGTCTAGAAATATAGTAGTGTCCTCAGTTACGCTTCGGACAATTAGTACATGAAAAGAAAAGACGATAAGATATACGTAACTTGGATTTATATAGAATAAAATTAAGATCAACATAAATATGGAAAAAGTAAAATTACCACGAGAAAATGCCAATTTCGAGTGTGAAGTTCGCGTACTGTAAATGTTCAATTAATAATAAACATATTAATATTCAAAAAACTTAAAGAAGAAACTGTTTAAATGATTAAAGGACGAATTAGATAATTTGTTCAAATATTGTTGACTTGCTAGTCTGCAAGCTACAGTAAGAGAATGGGCAGAAATCTGCTGATTTTAGAGGGAGGGAGGGGGGTTTCTTGTTTAATTAGTTCTTTATAAATTAGTAAATAGAAATTATCTGATTTTGAAGGGCATATCGCGTGTTCTGGGATCATCAAATTTTAACGATTTGATTGGTTAATTATTACATAATCTACCCCTTTTCTGGGAATTGTATCAAAATAATCAAAATACTATATATACCTCAAAATTTTCACTCATCAACAATACTTTCTTTTTTCGCCCCATTATTTTGTTCGTCGTGCCATCCACTTTCACATAGGTTTGGAGAAGTTAGATCATTTCGATAGTTCCGGTCTAACCGGGTGAATTATTGATTGGTTGTCCTATGTGACTGCATCTACAACTTCTCGTTTGTTTAGTGTCCTCTTTCGCTTTACAAACTATCCTTAAAGACCGTTTTCTCTATACTCGTTTTGAAGTTTTTTAAACTTTGCGCTTAAATTAGGTTCGTCAAATAAGTGATGTACACCTTCTAACACAGATAGGGCCACTGACAGTAGTTTAAACTAAGCTTAAAGCTTCCCTATTGTTACGCACAAATTGTCTTGAGGAAGTTCTTGTGAAGCGAAAGCTGACGAATCTCGCAAAGTTTCCTTTTTGTTATTTGATTTTTTTTTTTCTTTTTATTTAGTAATTTAGGCAAGTTGTTTTTTTTTATTATTTATATATTTTTCGCGTCTATTTTTATTTTTGTTATCTAATTTGATTTTTATTTACTTTAAAGTTCGTCGCCGTTGGTGTATTTCGTTCGTCGTTGCCGCGTCGCCGTCGGTGTATTTTCGTTCGTCGTTTCTCGTGGTAGAAAAACGATTTGAAAATTGTGATCTAGTCTGAATCGATTTTAAGAGATAATAATGGCGCATTTCACACTGGCACACTTAGTAACAGTGAAAAGTTTGTTATATAGTCTGAATCGTCTCAAGAGATAATGATAACATATTTGATATCGTCTGAATCGTTTTAAGAGATAATGATGACATGTATGTCAGTTTGAATCGTTTTAAGAGATAATTATGGCATATTTCAAACTTAGTAACAGCGAAAAGTTTGTGGATTTCGTCTGAATCGATTTTAAGAGATAATGATGGGCACATTTCACATTTAGTAGAGTCGGTACTCTTTTCACGAGAGACGTACGTACCTGTTTACCATTGGTTCGCTATCAGTAAAATGCGAATCACTTTACCGATGACTTGGTACACCATCGGTATCGTATTTTATCATTTCAAGATTTTTTTTTTTAAAAAAAAATTGGGAAATAAATGAATTGAAAACTAACCGAATACACATGTTTTAGATCGTTTAGCACTTTCTCTGTAGATTTAGAATTTTTTTTTTTAAATTCACAATTTTAAACTCCTTTGGGTCACACGATGCAAACCTCCTCGTGGTGTGACCTGGACGTCGAGCGATTTGTTCGATGACTAACTTGCATCATAATCACTAACAATATAAACTTACAGATTTGCTTGTAATTTTTTTTTTTTTTGTATAAAATTATGAAATTCTTTTAATGTAATAATAATTAAAAATAATAAAGATGAAAGTCGTATTTTAATTTAGTTGGGCAAAAAAAATTATATAAATTTTTACTTGGTTAAGAATTTTTTCATTATCGCGCTATAGATAGAATTCAACATGTGACTTTAATCAAGATTCGATTGACTCTTTGAATTCTATATTGTAATGTAATTTAATATATTTTTGTCAACGTAATACTTTGAATGTTATCTATTACTTATCAAAATATATTATTTAACCAAACTATTTTGTTTCAAGTGTGTAAAGTAAATTGTCATACAATATCATTGCTTATAAAATGCTTGAAAGATGTATCGGTATTGAACGTATAATATATATATATTAAATTAGATGAAATAGTCAATTCGAAAATTTCTTCACAATATTATGTTTTTTTGACTTATATAGCTAAAACTCCGTCGAACTTTATTTTATATTTACATTTCGCGTTTACACACTATATCAACGCACACGCGAATATAATTACACAAAACAGGAACAATTTATTTGCAATAAGAAGCAAAATTTCTACCTTAAAATTTTGCAAATTTAACAAATTTAACAAATAAAAAAACAAATGTTTTCAAACTTTCAAAAAAAAACATTTGTATAAAGAAAGTAATGCATAAATTGAAAGCTTTCATTTACTTCAGCATTGCTGGGATAAACAGAATGCTTTTCATTTAAGTTATAGTAATACGACGACGGCTAACATTATCCTCATATGGAAGCTAAATATAAAAGAAAAAAAAAAGGGGTTCATATTACCGATATGTAAATGTATGAGAATAATAAAAAAAGGTGAAAATATTAAGATGCGATTTACCTTGACTTCTAGAACACCTTGATCATATTTAGCTTCAGCTTTTTCAGTATTAACATTAAATGGCAAAGCGATAGATCGCTATATATAAAATCAAGACTTAGAAAAATTGATTCACACATAAGTAGGTTTATAAATTAAAAAAAAATTTACCGAGAAACGACCGAAGGAACGTTCATGAACGTATCCTGTAGTGGTATCATAAGATTCATCTCGCGTAGATTCACCACTAATTATAAGATTATCACCACGAATATTGAGATTGATATTCTCTTTTGGTACTCCTGGAAGGTCAGCTATACAGTATTCATATACAGTATAAAATGATATATTAATATAAATGAAAAAAGTTTTATGAAAAAATTTATCTATATAATAAACTATACCATGAACGACAAAAGCGTCTCCAACGTCCCTGGCTGTATAAAAGAAAAGAAATCAAGGTAAAAGTAAGACAAAAATCACCAAAAGCACATTGATTTTGAGCGACGATGAAAATAATTACCATCAACACGAGGTTGAAAAGTATAATCCCGATAGTATGTAGGAGTTTGCCGATTACTTGCGCTTGGCCATCTAGTATTAAAGACATCATTTTGAAAATCATTTAAGATCCTGTCAACATCTCGACGGAAACGAGAAAAAGCGTCGGCATAGAATGTATCCCCCCAAGTAGGATCATGCGTTGTCAAGGAGCCAGTTCGAGGGCCGAAAGAGCCAAAAGACGTTAAAGCCATGGCGATAGTGATAGAGAAACAAAAAACAAAAAAGATGAACGGTATTATTTTAGAAACGTCGAAAAAATAATTATCAGGAATCGTTGAATTTGAAAAGAACGCCGTTTTGAATGAATTTAAAATTTAAAAGTTGAAAAAATCTAGTGAAAAAAATTAAACATTCTATATTTTTATACTTGTAAAAAAAAACTTGGGAAAGTTTTTCATAAGTGTCATCATTATTATATCATAAAAAATATATATATCTGATATGTAAAAATAACGTATCGATACGATAAAATAATTAACTGAATTTTAAGCTGAAGAAATTTCTAGCCTAAAAAGTAAATTATTCTTTAACAATTAGTAAAATATGATGATAACATGGGAAAATATGCTAAAGTAATAGTTCATAAACATATTATATAATATTTACTTTTTCCTCTGATCTTGTCTCACGTACTGTACGTACGTATTATACTTACGTATCTTTCTTGAGAGTGAATATACAGGTAAGTATTACGATCGATACCACGTGATAGGTCGGTCAGGATTGTATGATTTTAGTAACGTTCGATTTGTCTCATCAAGACGAATCGAATGATACCAAAATCATTCAATTCCAAGCACTACATCATGAGATATTGCTTATTAAAATTTATATTCTTTAATTTGGCGCGCTGATGATATATTGTGAGTTATCTCGTGAACCGTCAATCAGAATCATGTAGTTTTGGTACCATTCGATTCGTCTCGATGAGACGAGTCAAAGGTACCAAAATTATACGATACTAATCGATAGTTCATATCATCATTTAACAAAAATAAGCTGCACAAAATAATTTTAAAGATTACAGTTTTTTATTTTGGTTAAATGATGATATCTCGCGAATCCCGATCAGATCATGTGATTCAAATTCGCACAGAACCTCTATTATTTCATCATAAAAAAAGATTACGCAATATTTAATAAAGTAATTATAACGATTGATTAGGGTTCGGTATATTATAATTAATTAAGATAAATATAAAATTGGAACTTAATACAGTAATAATTAAAATCCAATACTTATCCTTACTCTAACCTTAATAATTCCACAAATCATTCATTTTTACCTACAACATTTATATGGGTTTGTCAAAATATTTGAATTTCTTAAGGCAAATAAATTGGGAGTTATTTTGAGTATTATAATATTACAACTTTCCCTCTAAGTGCATTTCAACAAGACCTTGAGACCAATTTTGCCGACACAATATTTACATAACACATCTTTCTTATCGACACAGCAATAAACGACATTGATCAATTTCTAGCTAGTGGGGTAAACTTTTGCTGGTCGTTAAGAAAGATAAGTCATGTGAATGCTGTGTCGGTGGACCGTCCCATAAAGCATTTAGACTAAAAACGTACTTACGTAATTAGTACGTAATACAATTGTCAACTATAATATATATATATATTGTATATATAATGCTGTATATATACGTAGTATTTATTTCCCTCTTTATTAATAGCTGGTTTTCACCCATATTTTAATTCAAACTCAGGGAAATAGCTCTAACTGACAATTAGTAAAACGGATAATAACACATTTATTCCTCACTTCGTGAGGAATGAGTACTATTTAAATTTATTTTTTAATCTATTAGTATGTTCATAAAATATTGCTATTTTGTCCAGGTTTTAAATTTCAGTTCAGTACCGTTATATGTATAATTTACAAAGAAATTGTTATAATGTTAACCATCAATTTGTATTTTAATTTAATATTAGATAAGTGACTCGAAAAAAAAACTTTTGGTATAAGAAACTTTTGATACAAGAAAAATTTTAAAAGAAGCCTCTATAATTCTATCATATCGATACTACAGCACCTCTCCGAGTCAATGTCACGTGACGGTGCATTGTTACTTGCTACGAGTCTGCCACGGTGATACGTATTAATTACGTACCGGACTTTACTAGAATGATCTACAGGTCAAATAATTCAAAGACCTTTGTGTTATCTTTCGAAAGAACTCTTCTCCGATCTGTGCATAAAAAAATCATGAGTGAAATCGAGTTGAATCGAATACCTACACTAAAAACTATTTATGAAAAGGGTCTATTTAAATCGCGTGTGTCGAGAAAATCAAAGCGTATGTTGTTTCATTTAATCCCCAGTAAGCTCCGTTCTTTTCTTTAACTGAAAGGTTACTAACTATTCTTAAATAATACTAGCCCAATCTTCCCCCCTTTTTACTTATAATGAAACATTTAATGAAAAAATTTCTCTTATGTGAGTGCGTTTTCCTTTTTGGAAAGATAATATACCCTGCTGACCCTTCATTTTATTTCGTTATCGTCAATTTTTATTTTAAAGTCAAACCGATATTACGAGACTAAAGGTCGATGCGATAGGTTTGTTTAGCTTGTTTTAAAGTATTATCGTTAAATCATTGCTAATCATCTACCTTTTTATTATTTATCTAGTTAACGCCGCTAATGAGTCTCTTTTAGGCGGTGGTGGAGGTACTATTTTCTGTTCATAGCATTAAACTTATTAATAATTCTATTTTATTAAATGTTCAACTTTTTTATATATATAGTTGATGGTGCAATTCACAGGTAAAATTAATTTATTAATCCATTCTTTTCATATCATTTTCATTCTTTATCTAAAAATGATTCTTCGATTAGAGCTGCTGGGTCTGGACTTCGAAAAGAATGTTGGGATTTAGATGGTTGTAAAACTGGGGTAATTATTCAATTTATTTTTATTTTCATTGATATTCTTTAAATATTTTAAAATATATATATTTCAATATGGACTTATTTAATAGGATGCCAAAATAACTAAAGGTATATTAAAAGTTCTAAAAAAATTTTTTTTTTTGTTACATAATTCCTTACTCTTTTATTTAATCTTTTTTCATTCTCTTTTCTCTACAGGATATGATTTACCAGCTAAACGTATGTGTTTCTTATATATATGTGCATATATGGGCTAGATGTTAGGAAAATGTCAAAAAAATAGAATCTGTAGAAAATCAATATTTATATTATAAATTTTATAAGAAATCATAAGAAAATAGAACTTAAAAGTTATAATGCAAGACTTTATATCTACTTTCCTGTTTTCTACAATAAATACTATTCATACTTTTTTTGAGAAAATTGTTGATTGATAGCATCTGGCCCATATGTCATTCATTTTATATACTTTTAAAAAGATCTATAATTCCATCATTATATACAAATTAGATGTCATTCACACTGTTGGCCCAATTGGTGAAAAAGAAGGTCTTCTTCGTAGCGCTTATGAGCGATCTTATCAGGTTATGACTGAAAATAATATAAAAAGCATAGTGAGTTATCATTTCTTTATATATAAATATTAGGTTGAAATTTTTTTTAAAGATTTATTTAATTTGAATAATTTATTTATATTTTGTTATGTTTAAGGCATTTTCAAATATTAGTACAGGTTTGCTTCATATCTATATATTTCATCTTTTTTTTTTTCTTTCGTTACTTTCCTGTTCCTTACTATTGTTAAATATGAAAAGGCGTTTATGGGTATCCACGTTATCCTGCTGGTCATGTTGCCCTTGATACTACAAGGAAATGGCTGGAAGAGCACCCTAATCTTGAGGAGGTTTGTTTAACAATATTTTATATATTCTAAAAAAAAAAATTTTTTTGATTTATAGAATTAGGTTTTTTAATATAATCGTTATGCTAAAATTTTATTAGGTTGATAGGGTCATTTTCTGTGTGTTTGAAGATGAAAATAAGATTGTATATGAAGAACTATTGCCATTATATTTTCCGCCACCTAGTAGTGAATCGGAAAACGCTGATAAACTAGAACTGGATCCCAAACCTATTTTGGACGTTGAAATGGAAGATGCCAAACGTGACGTTGAAATGGAAGATGCCAAACGTGATGTTGAAATGGAAGATGTCAAACGTGACGTTGAAATGGAAGATGTCAAACGTGACGTTGAAATGGAAGATGTCAAACGTGACAATGAGGCGGGAGATGTCAAACGTGACGGTGAGGTTGGAGATGTCAAACGTGACGGTGAGGTGGAAGATGTCAAACGTGACGATGAAGTGAGAGATGTCAAACGTGACGATGAAGTGGGAGATGTCAAACGTGACGATGAAGTGGGAGATGTCAAACGTGACGATGAGGTGGGAGATGTCAAACGTGACGATGAGGTGGGAGATGTCAAACGTAACGATGAGGTGGGAGATGTCAAACGTGACGATGAGGTGGGAGATGTCAAACGTGACGATGAGGTGGGAGATGTCAAACGTGACGATGAGGTGGGAGATGTCAAA